ATGATCAGCAGCCTTACTGGCCAATAGTTATGTGGAAGAAGGAGGGAAGGAGCTGGCAAGCTTCAGCACTGTGAGGAAAGGGTTAAGCATTGTCGTATAAGAACACCAGGCAAGTGGGTGCCTGTTCTTCATACCTGTCAGCAGTATTCACTATTCTTAAAGTGACAACACCACTTTAACCACTAGCCTACTAGGCACTTATACCCCCTTCCTGCCCAGGCCAATTTTCAGCTTTCAGCGCTGTCGCACTTTGAGTGACAATTGTACGGTCATGCAACATTGTACCCATATGAAATTTTTATCATTTTTTTCACACAAATAGACCTTTCTTTTGGTGGTATGTACTTACTGCTGGTGTTTTATTTTTTGTGCTATAAACAAAAAGAGAGCAAAAATTTGGAGAAAAAAAATGTTTTCTTTGTTTCTATTATAACATTTTACAAACAAGTAATTTTTTTCTCCTTCACTGATGTGCGTTGATGAGGCTACACTAATAGGCAGCACTGATGGGCACTGATAGGCAGCACTGACGGGCACTGATGAGGGGCACTGATAGGCACTGATAGGCAGCACTGATGGGCACTGATTGGCCTTTTACCAAATCACATGATCAGCTGTGTCCGTAGGACACATGGAGATCGCCGGGTGCAATCCCTCGGGGGCATTCTGGGAGGACGTAATATGATGACATCCTCCTAGAACTGGCCAGCCACAGTGAAGCTGCCATTTGGCTATCTGCGGTCAGCATGTGGTTAAACAGAAAGCTTTGGATTCTATCAGGCTAGGTTCACACCTATGCAGGTTGCATTTGAACCATTTCTGCATTGCGTTTTGCTTTTTTGCACTTGCATTTTTGCTGCATTTTTTTTTTTTTTTTTTTCTTGTTGCTAGGCAGATTTAAAATGCAAAATGCATCAAAAACACGGCAAAATGCAGCAAAAACACAAATACATGCGTTTTCTTCCATTGAACCAAAAACTCAACTTTTTGCACTCAAAAGAGTCCCTGACCCTTTCTAAAAAACACACAACGGGTGAAAAACGCACAGGTGTGAACATGTCCCATAGGAAATCATGTTAAATGGACTGTACTGCGTTTCTGCAAAATGCAAAACACTGCAGAAAATGCTTAGGTGTGAACCTAGGGTAAAGAAAAAGCCCAAAGCATAAATGGTATGAAAAACAAGTAAGGATCATTTCAATCAGTTTAATCTTTTTAAAGTCAGAAAAAAACTCTACCTAGCTCCAGGGGCAATAACATTTGATAACCCATCCTAGCAGCTGTGGTCTTTGCATTGCATAAATATGTGAGTAGAAATATTAGATATTTCCCACTTTTGAGTATTGCTTTGTTGATATTTTACCTAAGTCCTCATGCACACAGGACGTTTTTACAGCGGCTGTTTTTGACTTTTGCCGTTTTTTTTTCTATAGCCAGTAAACCCTCCGGCATGTTATCCTATGAGTCCATGCACACATAGACTGTAATCAACGTTTATTGGCTGGAACATTTTTTGGGTGAAAAAAACCCAAGACTAGTGGGTTTCTAGAGGAGTTTTTTTTAGCTGTAAACTAGCATTTTTGTTTTTTTTTGACAAAAAAAACACAAACTTGGAAAAACGCTGGAAAACACCACTAAACGCTATTGCAAACATGCTAAAAAAAGCTGAAAAACTCACATTTTTAATGCAACTTTACATAGCTAATGTTACCAGCGTTATCAAAACGTCCAGTGCGCATGAGGACTAAAGGAGAAGTCTGGGCGCAGTAAAAAAACCACAAAACATACATACTCACCTCCTAGCTGCAGCATCAGTACAATGCTACAGCTGTTCCTCATTCACTCGAAGTCCAATAATGGATTAATCACATGACTGATGATCGCTTAGTTCTTGGTCTTTACTGAGCAGACAGCTCTCTGATCATTGGAGCTCCGGGCTGTGCAGGGGGGTTAAGGGCGGGAGGCTCAAGCTCTCAGCAGTACATTGAGAGGCTGAGCTAGCTGTTGGTCAGGGATCTGGGTGAATCCTAACATTATTGTCTGGATCCCTGCAGAGCTTTGACTGGCTCTGTGACATCAGCCGATAGCGGGCTTTAGCTGATTCTGGATCACAGGAGGGCACAAGTAAGTGTTCAGAAGTGAAGTATGGCCAATAGAGCTTTGGCCATACTTCTTTTTTAAGAACTTGAATCTGAAGCAAGAGAGTGAGGATAGGCTAAGTGCCTACCAGGGGCTGACTGACAACTCATGGGGCCCCTGGGCAATAGGGGATCATGGGGCCCATGTGTCCTTGCCCAAACTCAAAAAAGCCTATGAAAAAGGTACCAGGGGCATCTCATGGGGCCCCCTACTGACCACGGGCCCTCGGGCAGTGCCTGAGTTTCCAAATGGTCAGTCCGCCCCTGGTGCCTACTGAACTGAAGCCAAGGTGGGCAGCAGAGACTGAGTATAGTTTTGTACTTGTACTGGGGACTTCCTTGCAGAGAGTTTACACACTGAACTGCAACCCATGGAGCAACATGGGGAACAAAAAGACCAGACTAAAAGCAGGGTTTGATCATCTACTGACAGTGGATCTTTATGATTGTCGGTCACGTCATCACTACATTCAGACACACAGATATGAAGCGTTACATGACAATCATGTCAATGACCCCCCCCCCTTCCTTTTCGACATTTCACTAGGGTTGCTGGAATCTACCTCACCAGCCATACATGAAGAACAGGCTTATAAACTGGTATTCCTACTGACAGTAAGCAAAAATGGCAGTTCATGTGCTATACATGAACCAGTGTTGGGTGCAACTAAGAAGGGCCACCATTATAAGGGCCCACAATATGACCATCAATAATATGTACTGCTCAAAGTGACTATAAGGAAGTATAACATTGTAAATAAATGAATGCACGTGTCATGGTTTTAAGATCTTTAAAAGCAATAAAACACTTTTTTTTTTAAGTTTTACTTTTTTCAGATATGTTGCTGTGGACCACTTAGGGGCAGGCTCCTCTAATGGCCCACGTCATGCTAATGGTCTTGTGGTTGTTTGATATTAGAGACACATTCATCTGGACCGTAGATACCTAATACTTATCAATAAAGAAATTCTGCATGGTTTCATGACTAGCAAGGGTTAACCTCGTATTGGTTCAGTAAAGAAATGTTCTTTTTTTTTTTTTTTTTTTCTGGTCTAGTCTGGAGGGAGCACGTGATCCTCTGAATGACTGCCAGCCTCTTTCTTGTTGATCCTCCTGAGACCATCTGTGCTGGGGGCATTGATTAGAGTGTGTCTGCTGGGATTACATCTTTTCTGTTGCCATGCCAACTAATCAGCTGATTTTCGGTTGCCATGGCAACAAAATGTCAGAGCTCAGAGTACGGTAACATGAATTCAGCAGAACACAAAATATTTTCTTAATTGGAGACTCTTTTCTTTTTCTCTCCTTTAGTGATGGTGGAGAGGAACTGCTTTTTTTTTTCTAATATTTGTCCTGATCAGAAAGTCTACTTTAAATTAAAAATTCAGCTTAAACATAGCTATTAAATCTTGGTACATAATCATTTCCCTTTTTGGCAAAATATAACGAAACCGAGTGCTTCACTTGCAAACTACGGCATGCAGTTTATTCTCTGCCTGGGATCTAGGGTATGCATTTATTTTTCTATTCTTTTAGGCATTTTTTTTTACCCTTTTTCGTGGGCATAAAAATAACAATGTCCCTTAGCTGCTGCATTTTTACAGCTATACAGGAGTTTTGTTTCTATAGGTCTCAAAGGTTCTTATTATACAAATAGATTTTAGTCATAGTGGGACATTGACCCCTGACCTCTGCACGGTGTGCTCCCAAGACGCTGTCAAATGTTGGATTTGTGTGGTAAACCTTGAAAATTAATCAGCTTCGCACATAGGTGAGCGCAGCTTCCCCTTGTTCAGTCCGACTGGCAAACAGCTGACGCAGGCTCCTGCTGCATAAAGAAGATACAATAGGTCTTGATTTTCCAAATGGTAACAGACAAGTTAATAACATTCCCAAATATGTATCTAAAATACTTGTGCAGAAAAAAAACATAATTGAAAGTGGATCTCATTTATAAAAGTGAGGGAAAATTCTTTCAATCTGTGATGCCCCATAGAAACCAATTAGATTTGCTTGCTGCGGTGTGGGAAAATAAAAGAGAGAATTTGATTGGTTGCTTTGGGGCAACACGGACTATCTTCCTTTTAGACACTTTCATAAATAAGGTCCATTGCACTTTTCTTGATGAGGAGTTTTTTTGTTCTGTCATTGGTTTTCTTAGGCTAAAGGGGGCTAACCAGTGGCAGTTTTCAGTATTCAGTTAAGACAGCCTTTCTCAAACATGGTTCTGAGGAACTCAAACGTTCCACCAGAGGTTGCTAGGGGTTCCCTGAGCAGTGACTGAGTGTAGATCGGTTTTCTGCTTGGCAGTGCCTACAAGCTTCCTGCACAGACATCCACTTGGCAGAGCCAATGGCTTGGGATCAATTTAGCCTCTCCTCTTATCTTTCAGGTACCTACCCAATGACACCAATGATTCTACTAGAAGTCTGTAAGAAATGCATCTATGTCTTGGTCTCCAGTGTAATGGGGCAGTCTTTCCATTGCCCACTGAGCATTGTAAAAGGACACATCTACATTGACCACAAATGTAAAGAGATCACTTCTTCACTTACCACCAATGTTTATGGAGCACTTCTTCACTGACCACCAACATAAAAAGGACACATCTCCAATGACCACCGATGTAAATGGACCCTTCCTTATTGATTGTCAATAGAACAACACTTCACCACTGACCACTAATGTAAATGGTCCACTTCTCTGCTAACCACTAATGTAAAGTGACATCTTCTCCATTGACCTCCAGTGTAAATTTGCACTTCATCGCTGACCACCAATGTAAATGGAGCACTTCTCCACTGATCACTAATGTAAAGGGAGCACTTTTTCACTGCCACAAATGTACATAGAGCAATTGTCCACGAAAACCAATGTAAAGAAATCATGTTTCCGCTGATCACCAATGTAACTGTGCACTTCTGCACTGACCACTAATGTAAATGGTCTTCTTCTATACTGACCACTAATGTAAAGTGAACTTTTCTCTACTGACCTCCAGTGTAAAGGTGCATTTCATCACTGACACCAATGTAAAGAAAGCATTTTTCCCACTAACCACTAATATAAACTGTGTGCTTCTGCACTGACCACTAATATAAACTGTGCATTTCTTCACTGACCACCAATATAAAGTTAACTCTTCTCCACTGATCTCCAGTGTAAAGGTGCTCTTCATCACTGAGCACCAGTGAAAATGGAGCACTTCTCCACTGACTACCAATGTAAAGGGAACACTTCTCCACTGACCACCAATGTAAAGGGAACACTTCTCCACTGACTACCAATGTAAAGGGAACACTTCTCCACTGACCTCCAGAATAAACGTGCACTTCATCACTCAGCACCAATGTAAATGGAGCACTTCTCCACTGCCACAAATGAAAATAGAGCACTTCTCTACTGAACATGTAAAGAAAGCATTTTTCCACTGACCACTAATGTACACTGTGCGCTTCTGCACTGACCACTACTGTAAAATGAAAATCACCCCTAATCACCAATATAAAGAACTAACTTCTTCAGTGACCACCACTGTAAAAGGTCACATCTCCACTGACCACAGATGTAAACAGACACCTCACTATTGTAAAGGGCCACTTCTTCACTGATCATCAATGTAAAGAAAACATTTCTTCACTGAACGCCAATGTAAATGGAGCACTTCTGCACTGACCACTAATGTAAAGAGACCACCTCTCCCTAAATGAGCATTATAAAGGGAGCACTTCTCCACTGATCACAAAGGTAAAGGGAGTACTTTTCCATTGACCATCAATGTGAAGAGGTGCATCTTCACTGACCACCAACATAGTTACATAGTCACATAGTTAGTCTGGCTGAACAAAGACAAAAGTCTATCCAGTTCAAAAAAAAAAAAAAAAAAGTTATAATCCTATACCCATAGTTGATCCATCGGAAGGCAAAAAAAAACCCAGCAAAGCATGATCCAATTTGCTCCTGCTGGGAAAAAAATTATTTCTTGATCCCTCGAAAGGTAATCAGATATTCCCTGGATCAACTTTACCTATAAATAGTAACCTGTTATATTCTGTGTATCCAAGAAAGAATCCAGGCCTTTTTTTTAAAGCAATCCACTGAGCTGGCCAGAACCAACTCTTGAGGGAGTCTATTCCACATTTTCACAACTCTCACTGTGAAGAAATCTTTCCGTGTTTGGAGATTAAATTTCTTTTCCTCCAGATGTAAAGAGTGCCCCCTTGTCCTCTGTGATGACCTCAGGGTGAATAACTCTACACCGAGTTCACTATATGAACCACTGATGTATTTATACATGTTGATCATATCCCCCTTTCATCTCATCTTCTCAGGAGAGAATAAACAACATAAAGGAAGTTCTTCTTTACTGACCGCCAATGTAAAGAGACGGTTTTGCCATTGACCACCAATGTAAAGGGACGGTTTTGCCATTGACCACCAATGTAAAGGGACGGTTTTGCCATTGACCACCAATGTAAAAGGGGCACTTTCCTGCTAACCATTAATTTAATGGGGGTGCTTCCAACCACCATTGTAAACAGAGAATTTCTCTATAGGCCACCAAGGTTAAAGGAGCATATCTGCACAGTCCACCGGTGTAAAGAGAGTATTTCTTCACTGACCGCTAATATAAAGTGAGCAACTCTCCTGACTATTACCCCCCTTCCTGACCAGGCCATGCTTTGCGTTATGGCGCTGCATTACTTTAACTGACAATTGCACGGTCATGCAGTGCTGCACCCAAATGAAATGTACGTCCTTTTTTTCCCCACAAATAGAGCTTTCTTTCGGTGAAATCTGATTGCCTGTGCGTTTTTATTTTTTTGCGCTATAAAAAAAAAGACCAACAATTTTGAGAAAAAAACAATATTTTTGACTTTTAGCTATTAAACATGTCCAGTAAAAAAATTTTAAAAATGTATTCTGCTACATGTCTTTGCTAAAAAAAAATCCCAATACGTGTAAATTAATCGATTTACTTGAAAGTTATAGCGTTTACAAATGGTGGTATAAATACTGGATTTTTTTTTCTACTAGTAATGGCGGCAATCAGCAACTTATAGCGGGATTGCAAGAACATTTTGATACTGGGGGGAACTGACTTGGTGTCACTGACATCCTCAGTGACACCAATACAATGATTGGTGCTAAAAAAAGCACTGACATTGTACTAATGGCACTGGGCAGGAAGGGGTTAACATGAGGGGCGACCAAAGGGTTAACTGTGTGCAGGGAGTGTTTTACTAGGGGGCAGTTTGTTGGTGCTTCACTGTAAGCACACTGCTTTGGATGGCTTGCTGTGCGGGACCCGGTGATTGCCAGCCACGGCCGCGAATGGCAGCCCCCTATCCAGAAATGCAAAATTACATATATTATATATATATATATATATATATATATATATATATATATATATACCATATTTGCCGGCGTATAAGACCACTGGGCGAATAAGACGACCCCCTACTTTTCCTGTTAAAATATAGGGTTTGAGCTATACTCACCGTATAAGACTACCCCTCTTCCAACACACACCAAATAAAAATGAAAAAACATCAGATTTGATTTCAATATGGTATGGTATTTCAGTATGGTATTCCAATGATGGGGAGCTATTCCTCCCACTGACACCAATGATGGGGCACGATTCCTCGCTCTGACACCAATGATGGGGCACTATTCCTCCCACTGATACCAATGATGAGGCACTACTCCTCCCACTGACACCAATGATGGGGCACTGTTTCATCCACTGACACCAATGATGGGGCACTATTCCTCCCACCGATACCAATGATGGGACACTATTCCTCCCACTGACACCAATGATGGTGCCCCATCATTAGTGTCAGTGTATGAGGAATAGTGTCCCATCATTAGTGTCAGTGGGAGGAATAGTGCCCCCTCATTAGTCAGTGGGAGGAATAGTGCCCCATCATTGGTGTCAGTGGGAAGAATCATGCCCCATCATTGGTGTCAGTGGGAGGAATAGTGTCCCATCATTAGTGTCAGTGGGAGCAATAGTGCTCCATCATTGGTGTCAGTGGGAGGAATAGCGCCCCATCATTGGTGTCAGTGGGAGGAATAGCGCCCCATCATTGGTATCAGTGGCAGGAATTGCGCCCCATCATTGGTGTTAGTGGGAGGAATAGCGCCCCATCATTGGTATCAGTGGAAGGAATAGTGCCCCATCGTTGGTATCAGTGGCGGGAAAAGTGCCCCACCATTGGTATCAGTGGGGAGAATAGTGCCCCATCATTGGTGTCAGTGGGGGGGGGAATAGTGCCCCATCGTTGGTGTCAGTGGGGAGGAGGAATAGTGCCCCATCGTTGGTGTCAGTGGGGGAGGAACAGTGCCTCATCGTTGGTGTCAGTGTGGAGGAGGAATAGTGCCTCATCTTTGGTGTCAGTGGGGGGAGGAATAGTGCCTTATCGTTGGTGTGAGTGGGGGAGGAATAGTGCCCCATCATTGGTGTCATTGGGGAGGAGGAATAGTGCCCCATCATTGGTGTCAGTGGGGGAGGAATAGTGCCCCATCGTTGGTGTCAGTGGGGGAGGAACAGTGCCTCATCGTTGGTGTCAGTGGGGGAGGAACAGTGCCCCATCGTTAGTGTCAGTGGGGGAGAGGAATAGTGCCAAGAGTGTCACAGCATGGTGCTGCTGCACACTTACTGGCCGCTCCCTCACTCGATTTTTGCGGGGGCCGCTCGGCTCCGCCTCCTCACCGGTGATTGGTCACCTGTGTGCCTTTCCAGTGCTGGCGCCCAATCACCGGTGAGGAGGCGGAGCCGAGCGGCCACGCGACCATCGAGCGGCCGAACTGAAAGAAGGAGCAGCCGCGCTTCCTGGACCGGATCGTCGTGGGACCGGGACCGGAGCCAGGTAAGGTACAGCAGCCCCCTGCCCGCCCCTGTACTTAGTGTCCCTTCTTCCACTGCGCCGCTCCTTGAAAAAGTGCCGCCCTGACACTGGCTCGCCGTATACTGGCGTATAAGATGACCCCCGACTTTTCAGAAGATTTTCATGGGTTAAAAAGTCGTCTTATACGCCGGCAAATACGGTATGTGATTTTGCGCACCCGTGCTGCCCTGTAGCAGTATGTCAGCTATGGGGGGGTCAGGAAGCGGTTAAAATAAGAAAACCTAGCATATGAGCTGTATGCCTGTTGGCAACCTCTGCTTTCACATCTGTATAAAGCAACTGTGCTGTATATAGCTTAGCATGCAATGGCTGTCAGTTCGATGCCCATGTTCCCCATACACTAGCTGAATTTCAAATCAGACTAAGTCAATGTAACAAGCAGAAGCCCCATCACTATCTCATGATGGGATTATCTAAGTTAGGCAAATGTTGTCATGGCGTAAATAAGTGGTCTCCAAACTGCAGTCCAGTGGCCAGATGTGGCCCTTAGCTTGCTTTTATCAGGCCCTTGGGTCACTATTTCATCCACTGATACCAACAATGGGGCATAACCTCCCCCACTGACACCAATGATGTGGCACAATTCCTCCCAATGACACCAACAATGGGGCACAATTACTCTCAATGACAACAATAAGGCCTACTGGCATCAATGATGGGGCATACCCCACCCCTGCTGACAGCAATGGGTACTATTCCTCCATATGACGACAATGATGGGGCAATATTCCTCCCAATGACGCCAATGATGGGGCACAATTTCTTTCAACGACACCAACAATGGGGCCTACTGACACAAATGATGGGGCATAATTCCCCCCTACTGACACCAATGATGGGGCACTACTCCTGCATATGACACCAATGATGGAGCACAATTCTTCCCAATGACGCCAACCATGAGGAACAATTTCTCCCAATGACACCTACAATGGGGCCCAGTGACACCACTGATGTGGCACAATTCCTCAATAGGGCACTGTTTTTTTGTCACTAATATCGGGACCTTTTCTGCTCCCAATGGCCACAGTCCGGCCCCCCTAAAGAATGAAGTACAGTAAACTGGCCCTTTGTCTAGAAAGTTTGGAGACCCTTGGCGTAAATTTTTCAGGTGGTGGGAAAGGATAGAGATGTTTAATCAGCACACAACAATTAAAAGAGTATGCAGAAAGGCAAAGTACATTATAACTGCTTGAAAGTATACCTTTTTACAATTCCTACTGGCAAAATGATGAAGCGATAACACAACACCACCTAAAGCCACTTTATTAACCCCTTACAACACCATGGATCTGTGATTTAAAATTACCTTCTGATAATATTATATGGTTACAAACATTTGCATTTAAATTCATATGCAAATCTTGACTTTGATAGAAGGTCAAGGTCTAGACATTTTAAATAATCTCTTTTCCGTAATCTCTAGCTGTGTTGAAAGCAGAAAAATATGGGCATCACAGTTTGTGTGTATGGGGTTGTATAGTCGCAGGCTGGTCAGGGTGCCCATGATGACCTGTGTCTACAACCAAAAGTGCCTTCAATGGACACATGAGCATCAGGATTGGACCAATAGGAGCAATAGAAGACGGTGGCCTGGTCTAAGCCAAGGTCTAGACCAGGGGTGGGCAAACTTTTTGACTTGAGGGCCGCAATGGGTTCATATATTGGACCCGGGGGCCGGACCAAGAGTAGATGAATGATGTGTATGTGTCATCCATAGTAAGTATAGTAATATTCCCCCATATAGTAATTCACCCCCCATAGTAATTCATCCCCCATAGTAATTAATCCCCCATAGTAATTCATCCCCCATATAGTAATTCATCCCCCATAGTAATTCATCCCCCATATAGTAATTCATCCCCCATAGTAATTCATCCCCCATAGTATTTCATCCCCCATATAGTAATTCATCCCCCATATAGTAATTCATCCCCCATATAGTAATTCATCCCTTATAGTAATTCATCCCCCATAGTAATTCATCCCCCATATAGTAATTCATCCCCCATAGTAATTCATCCCCCATATAGTAATTCATCCCCCATAGTAATTCATCCCCCATAGTAATTCATCCCCCATATAGTAATTCATCCCCCATATAGTAATTCATCCCCCCAATAGTAATTCATTCCCCATATTAATTCATCCCCCCTATAGTAATTCATTCCCCATATTAATTCATCCCCCATATTAAGTCCCCAAGTCCCCCCTGTGTCAATTCACTTACCTTTGCACCGCGCGTTCCTCTTGCCGTGTTCCCGCGCCGTTCCGGTGTAGCATGAAAATCTGTCTCCTATGAGGATCTGTCCCCCTCGACGTATCTGCGCATGTGCCAGTTTCAGGCATTAGCAGCCGATCGGTGATCTCCGGCACATGCGCAGATACGTCGAGGGGGACAGATCCTCATAGGAGACAGATTTTCATGCTACACCAGTCTTCAGGGCGGACTGTGAGAGGAGCCTAGCTCCGCGGGCCGGATTAAAAGGTCCGCCGGGCCGTATACGGCCCGCGGGCCGTAGTTTGCCCATTGCTGGTCTAGACATTTTCTATAATCTCTACCTGTGTTGAAACCAGAACAAATGGGCATCATAGTTTGTGTGTATGGGGTTGTATAGCCACAAGCTGGTCAGGCTGCCCATAATGACCTGTGTCCACAGCCAAAAGTGTCTTAAATGGACACATGAGCATCAGAATTGGACCAATAGGAGCAATAGAAGAAAGTGGCCTGGTCTGATGACTCACATTTTCTTTTATATCATGTGGATGTCCGGGTGCATTTCCATCACTTACCTGGGGAAGAGATGACACCAGGATGCACTATGGGAAGAGGGCACATCGGTGGAGGGAGAATTATGCTTTCTTCAATGTTCTACTGCAAAACCTTGGATCCTGCCATCCATGTGGATGGTATTTGACAGGTACCACTTACCTAAACAATGTTGCTGACCAAGTACACTCTTTCATTGAACAGCATTCCCTGGTAGCCTCTGTTAGCAGGATAATGTGCCCTTCAATACTGCAAAAATGGTTCAAGAATGGTTTGAGGAACACAACAACGACTTTGAGGTGTTCACTTGACCTCCAGATTCTCCAGATCTCAATTCAATTGAGCATCTGTGGTGCGTGCTGGAAAAACACGTCCAATCCATTCATGCACCATTTTGCAGCTTAAATGAACCTAAAGGATTTGCTACTGACAGCTTGGTGCCAGATACTACAGCATACCTTCAGAGGTCTAGTAGCATCCATACCTTGAAGGGTCAAGGTTGTTTCAGTGGCAAAAGGGGCTGCTGTTTTGGCAGGAAAAGGAGGACCTGCTCAATATTAAGTGGGTGTTCATAAAGTTATAGCTGATCAGTGTTATAATTTATTCTAAAATTAATAAAATTAGGAAGTCCACCATACTATCTTAAAGAAAAAAACATTCTATTGTACAGTTTTAGATGCCCTGTATGTCACATTTCTGGGTATCTCATACATCAACACATTTCTTGGTCTCACTCGCTTCTTTAAGACATGAAAATCCAAGTTCATAGAGCATATTTGTTCATAGTATATATCTGTAAACAACTTATGTCATGTTCTAAAAAATAGTAGTAAAAGACAGTATGTAAAATGTATGGACTCAATATACTGTAAGTCACAGCTTCATTAATATGGCATTATACCTCACTCTGCATAAATAATCAGTTTTACCCTCAGAATCACTGTTGTCTATATGTGTGAACATATGCCAGGTGCCCAATCACCATCTCGGATATCACTATGTAGGAGGACCAAGGACAAATGGAAGCCCAAAATAGTCTGTGAAACCCTCACAAACCCAACAAATTTGTAAATAAAAAGTTAAAGAATCATTAGAAGGGGAAAAGAGACGCATTCTCCTGCTTCAATGGATGAGTGAGTGCAGTCTTGCTTCCTTGTTGATGTAAATGCTGCAAAGTATCTTTCACCAACGAAAGAGTGATGCCTTAATCATCCAGTCAGCAAGACCATGAAAACGGGTATTTCTCTGCTGTATACACTGTGTGTGTGTATATACTGTATATATATATATATATATATATATATATATATATATCAACATGTTTTGCGTTGAAAGCAGAAGTGATGTAAAATTATTTTGCTTCCGCTGTGTGATGGGACATCTAGCTAACAGGTAGGAAGCCTCACTTTCATCAATCAATGTGTGCACTGCTAGTAATAAAGTGTCATGCCAGAGTTTACTGAGCTTCAAAGAGGGCAAATTATCAGTGTTTGCCTAGCTGGTGCCTCTGTGACTGAAGTTGTAAATTAATTTACCGTGTCACGAGGTACAGTATCAAAGGTTATGACGGCATATACAGTTTCTGGGAAAACAATGTTTGATAAACATAAGTGCGGTCAACATGGACAACTTTCCGAAAGGGACAAAGGACATTGCGCAGGGTTGTAGCCAGGAATAAGAAAACAACTGCTGCAAATGTGACTGCAGAGCTCAATCTCAGTCTTCCAAAGCACATGTCCAAAAAAACTGTACAGAGGAATCTCCATAAGCAAAACATTGACAGGTGAAATGCAATCGCCAAACCACTAGTGACCGATATTAATGCACAGAAGAGGAGAGAGTGGTGTAACACCCATAAATCGTGGACCATCTTTCAATGGAAGATGTTTTCATGTGTGGAAAACACCGACCAAGACTGTCTTGTGCCAACAGTAAAGCATGGTGGCAGCACAATTATGGTTTGGGCAGCCATATCTTGCATTCTGCAGGCCCCTTCATCATCTTGCAAATTAGAGTCACTGTCAGTGACTATGTACAAATTTTGGCTGACCATGTGGACGCCATGGTGTAGACATTGTTTCCTGAAGACAGAGCTATTTACCAAGACAATAATGCTCCAATTCGCAGAGATGGTGTCAAATCATGGTTTGACAAGCATGCAAATGAAGTCTCTTACCTTGCCTGGGCGCCGCAGACGCTGGACCTCAGTATCCCAGAGTATCAATGGTCAATTTTGGAAAACAAGGTTTAGGCTCGTTTTCCGCCTCCAGCATCTCTGTGAGAGCTGAAATTATTTTTGCATGAAGAGTGGTATTAGATTCCATTATCCACCATACAAGACTTATATTTGTCAATTCCCAGGAGAATTCAAGCCATCTTGGATGCCAAAGGTGGGCCAACACTATTTTAGTTAACAATTTTGTTCTTTTACCTGGTGTTTCCATAATTTTATCCAACTCCTGTATATATACAGAGAGAGAAAGAGAGAGAGCGCAATCCTGACGCTGACCGGTGACGGGTTCTTAAAGCTGTCATAAACCCAAAACAAGAATGTGATATATTTCAGCTTACCAACCCTTAAATGTGGTGTTTTCTTTTTTTTAAAGCTCACTTTCCTTATTTTCACCTGGTGATCCAACCAGCAACACAATTCATGTCTTTGGGTATTTCTACTTTTAGGCTTTTTTCACAAGGGCGTCCATATGTCCGTTTTTCATCTGTCTGTTTACGGATGAAAAACAGACACCCATGTATTTCTATGGATTAGCAGGTGTAAACAGATGATCACCATTTACATCCATTAATGTCCGTATCCATTAACATCCATTTTTTGAGAAAAAAAAAAAACAGAATGGACGAAAAACAGATGTAAACTGATGAAAAAAACAGATCTAAACTGATTAGAAACAGATGTAAACTGATCCATTTTTTCTTTGAAAAAACGTAACTGAACTGATGAAAAAAACGGAACGCCCATGTGAAAGGACACTTAATGGAGGAGAAACAGAAACACCTTTGG